ATATGTATTATCAACACTACTTTATTAATTAAAGCGTACATAGACCGCAGTTGACTTCAAAATTCTTTCGAGAAGAATGCTCTAAAAATTGAAATAATGTAACATGAAATTATAGGCCATCCTCAGTTTTTTTCAAAAAAAATTAAATGAAGGTGTTGTTTTCAATAACAGATAATGATATGTTCAGTCATAATATTGAGATTATTAGGCTGGTGCGTAATAGTAATGATGCAGTCATAATGTGATAGGCATAGCTAAAGCCGGAATGGCTCCCCTTTTCCTAATGTTGTAGGTTTCCAGGCTGGCCCGTAGCGTTTTTCAAAACGGGCTGATTCTTGTGGTTCTATATAGGTGGGCTTTACGAGCAAGACATAAATCCTTGGGGACCCAAAAAAGTTGCTTATATCTTTTTTAAGATCTCAGTCATTTCATTTTTCATTAGGAATCAGGATTACCATTTCCCATAACTCCTTTTTTTTGTGGGGGAAAAGACACGGTTAAAAAAAAGACATATGAAAATACTGTAATAATGATACATTAATTTTAGCATTTAAACAATAAAGTAAAATGTACAGCAAGAATATATATTCACATACAGATAACATCCGCGTAATTAATTAGTGCTTTTTTTTTTTTTAAGTTCATATCCTTTTGCGATCCAAAACTTGAAGATCGACCCAGAATATTCAGTCTTTTTGGCCCAAAAAGGGAGTAAGAAGGAAATTTGACGATGATTCCGAAGTATAAAGCTCCGTATATACTAACGAGGAAAAGATGAAGTTATAGACATTTCATTGACAGAAGATGGAATGGAATTGTTGGCAGAAGCAGAAGGATGACCCGAATTTGGGTCCATCCCCCCATGAACATAAAATGCGGGTTTGCGAGGAAATGGTAATTCCACAGAAAGATTACTTAAATACGAAACAACTCTTGACATGGGAGGCCTATACCTCTGCTTTCTCTTGAACACACAATAATCCAATCTGGATGCACTTCATCACTTCTGCTTCACAACTACTTTCTTTCAACTTCGGGTCCATTATTTCTAATGGCGTCTCACCTCCCCTCCACTGGTTCCAAGCCTGCAAAGTTTTCACAGTACACACATGTCAATACTCAATATTAATATTTGCCCTTTCTTCTTATAACTTTCGATGCATCAGGCGATCATATAATTATTGAGGCACGATGGCATCACACCGGCTTCAGCTTATTTATATCAACACTTATCTATTGAAATTTGACAAAAATGAATACGTACAATTCATCAAGTGATATGTTTCAGAGTTAAAAGTCATTGCAAGTAACGACTTACGTAAGCTAGCTGGGAGGCCATTAATGCTGGGTAATTCATAAGAACAAGAATTTTTCCTCCCACATACTCCAAAACTAAAGATATCTGATTTTTCTGAGTATCTTCCAAAATTCACATATTCAGGAGGTATATAGCCGCTGCCAAAAAAAAAATCCAAACAATATAAGCCAACCAGAAACAACATTTTACTTGTTGGAACAAATAGAAAAACAAAGTAACGAAGTGTGGTAAGGGATTCAGCATTCACTAACTCACTATGTCCCAACTATTCTTCTTGTTCTTTCTTGGTGTTGATCTATTGCCAACGTTTTTGCCATTCCAAAATCGGAAAGCTTTGGATTCATGTTTTCATCTCATAAGATATTGCTAGGTTTAAGATCACGATGTATAATTTTAAGACGTGAATGCTCATGAAGATAAAGAATTGCTCGAGCAACCCTTTCAATGATTTTAAAGCACCTGGACCAATTTGACAAGAGTTGATCTTGAGAATCTGTACAATCAACAATAACAATATAAAGGTGTTAGACTTCAACAGTAAATGTGCTGGTAAAAAATAAAGATAAGAAAACCTTCAGGGCAAACGTAAATGCCAAACCAAAGAGAAAGTAGTCGAGGCTTTTGTTGGGTGCAAATTTGTAGACGAGTATCTTCTCATGCTCTTGTAAGCAAAATCCCAACAATGTCACTAGATTTCTATGTTGAAGTTTAGCTGTTAGTAAAATCTCATTCTTAAATTCCAGGGTGCCTTGTTCGGAGCTCGTGGAGAGTCTCTTCACAGCAATTTTCTGTCCATTAGAAAGAGTACCCTGAGATCATGCATAAGTAAAAATTAGCATTTGCAACGATACTCAAATATGGACTAGTCATTAGGACTGGGTACTATAGGTAATTGTTAAAAAGATGTTAACATTTGCATTATGGACATAAAATAATTTCTCACCTCGTAAACTTCTCCACATCCTCCTTGACCTATCCCGTTCTGAACTGAAAACCTGTTTGTTGCAGCTTCAATTGTAGCGAAATCGAATCGCAGTGACTCCAGAGTAGTACATTCAGTTCCAACTAAACGAATGTATATATGTACTTTTCAAATAAGCACATCCATTCTAGGCATAATACATACATACATACATACATATACACTTTTCTGGTTCTATTTATAAGTCACTTCTAACATATTATACACAGATAAAAAAAAATAAAATTAAACTTCATTAATTTTTATTTAAAATTCAAGAACTTTCTTATTTTATCTCTATTTAATAAATAAAGTGTAAAATTGTACATCCATACAAAAATTTTTTCTTAGTATCCTATAAATAGGACTAAAAAAATGTCTTTTCTTCCTGTTTTATAGACAGGACCAGAGGAGCATATACATAGGAAGAGCATGGTTGGTTTGATTTTCTATTTTCTATTTCATAAAACGTACAGTTTTCTTTGAGAATGGCATATCTCCTCCTTGCCTTCCTTCGCAGCAAATAGATGACGAAATAGGACAGCAGGGCTGTAATAACGACTGGGATGACCACCGCGATAATGATCCGTGACCGGACTTTTCTGCCTCCTGCGCAATAAAATAATTGCTATAACATTGACAGTTAATATAAAAGTTAGTTGATTAATTTAAATAGATTAAAAAAATTAGTTAAGTTAATTATTTATAATAAATACGTGTTTTTTTACCTAAAATATCCTTTTTAATTAAGTGTATTGGTTAGAATTATTATTATTACGAGGATTACCTAGAAAAAAAGTAGATAACCATCGAAGACAAAATGAATTGAGATTTGATATTTAAAATCAAAATAAAAATTAAATGAGCTTTTATATTAAGGATCGGAAGTAGTAATAAAGAAATGTTATCTTTTCCCCCGTAAATTTTCCCTTAAGGTACAATGAAATAATTTCTTTTTTATTATCCAAAAAATAATTTATTAGGTCAAAATGGACAAAGTTGGCCCACTCAAAGAAGGCCTGTCATACGGTCATTTGAGCCAGACAGCCTTCATTCGTTGAACATGTGACAAAATTGTGAACTTGACCCATAAGGTTTTTTTTTTTTTTCGACCTTGATTAAGGTTTCATTAAAAACTAGTAGTAATATAAATCTCAAAATCGGCGGCGTATAGATAAATAATTAGCCATTTAGAAGGGGAGCTTTACCTTCGGACGCTGAGCCCCCTTTGCCGCCATCAACAGAAACAGAATCATGTGAGACGCGCTCAGGCGAACGCGCGCGAACAGCTTCAACCTCTCAGCAAAAGAGTCGCAACCCAAACATGAGGCTGCAGCATGGATACAGAACCATTCCGGCGTATCTTCCAAGGCAACACAACGGAATATCCGCCATTATATCCCTCAGACATCCCCAGCAATCTCCGCTTGTCAAATCGTGCGAGCATTGAACCAGAGTGCACACCTTCTGATCCCTCACTTTCCCCGTCCTCGTCGCAAATTTCTTTTCTCCAGCTGCCACACCGTCCGCCGCCTCCGTTATCGCCTCGTTCAGCGTGTTCGCCAGCACCCACCCGACGCCACCTTGATTCGACGTGTCCGGAATCGTGCTGAAATTCCCGAGCTTAATCCTGGGCCATTCCTCCAAGTTGGAGAAGATGGAACGGCTCGAATACCGAACTAAGCACTCGTGATACCAGATGATGGCTTCCTTGGAGTACAAACAGCGCGACGCGATTTTCTGGATCGCCAACTGAACGCACTTTTGGCACATCTGACCCGTGACATCACCGTGACACAAGAAGAGGCCGTAGATGGCCTCGCTGGCGTTTACACCGCCTCCGGTGACGGTGGTGTTGTAGAATTCCACGACGCCAGTGGCGGAGAAGATAAAGAGGAAAGGAGAGTGTTGAGGTTGACATGGTAAGGACCATTGAAAGCGAAGGTTTTACTGGCGGAGCAACTATGGTGGATATAAACAGGATCTTTATTGCCTATATAAACAGAGCCATCTGCTTCAGCCCTGGCTATGGCGAAATATTGAAGCAAGCTGAGGAAGAATATGAGATGGAGGTTAGGTACAGTCATTTGGTATAGCTAATGCTTGATGATTAATTGATATTTGAATGAACAACTGGGGATGTATGCTCTGAATCAGAAGAAAATTTGGCCGACAAAAGGCTTTAATGATTATCGAGTGGGGTGTTTTTTAATGGTTCTTTCTTTTACCATCATCTAGCACCCTATGATCAACCCCAATGTTGGTTCCTTTTTGGCCAACTATAATATTTTGCTTATAATTTGTCAAATCTGATACAACCAATGTGCCTTGGACGTAATTCTAAAATATTGCAAGATGGGTCTCAAATCAATCTGTTTCTTTTTGAATGGAAAATCAATCTGTTTCTTGATATGCCAGAGAAACTACGTATCTTTCTCCTATGCACTTGATATATAATAATGTAAAAGAAGTAACTTTATTATTACACTAATAACACGCATGATTCAGAATTCGGTAGGTTGGATGGGATTTGACGACGATGGTCAGCAATGATCAACTACATGGGGTTTTACGTACGTTTGCATCTTGCCTATGTACGTTTAATAATGGTGTTTTATTTACATATTTGTATCAGACACACAAGATTGACATGAATAATCCCATATATATATATATATATATAGATATAGATATATATTTGTATGTATTAATTCTTTTTTATATCAGCTAATAAATTCGGATCTCTTTTATTCTGCTAAGAAGTGGACAGATGCTTTTTTCGCTATTAATATTCTGATCTTACATAGGAATCCAAACGAATCTCCACAATCCACATGTTGGTAAACAGAACAACAGATAAGCTATCGAGGGTACACTTGAGTGATGGAAGCTTCGTCAACAGAGTATGGGGCTGATCTGCTTTGAGAAGACTTATCTGTGGAGTTCGATGGAAGGCTGATCTCAACAGTTCTGCTGTGAACCAAAAATGGAGGTCTCTCAGGTATTGCTACGCTAACTGAGTAACTATTGAGCATCAGAACTATTGTCTGCATTGTTGGCCTTTGAGCTGGATCTTCTTGTACACATGTTAATGCAATCTGGATGCATCTTCTCACTTCCTCTCTATTATAAGAATCTCTCAAACTCACGTCTAACACTTCCAACGGCGTCCCATCTTTCCATTTCCTCCAGGCCTGCAAAAGAAGTACAGTATGAAAGTCAAACCAGAAACAGAGCAAGCGACAGAGAACAAACACAAAGATCCTCCAAACTCACATAGTTCAGGAGATGTTCATCGTAGTTGGGTTCTTGAAAGGATGTGCTCTTTTGTCCGCTTATTATTTCCAAAATCAACACGCCAAAGCTATATACATCCACTTTGACAGACAGATTCCCATGCATTGCATACTCCGGAGGCATATAACCACTATAAACAAAGTCAAATTCAAAACATAAAACTTGACATGATGAATATTTCACAAACATTTACTATCAAAATATTATGTGTTTAAATTGAACAAAGGACATTGGCACAAAGTAATAAAAAAAGGGAGATCGAACTCACAAGGTTCCCACAATTCTATTTGTATTTCCTTGAGTTTGATCAGCACCAAAAATTTTTGCCATACCAAAATCTGCAATTTTTGCATTCAAATTCTCATCTAATAATATATTACTAGCTTTAAGATCACGGTGTATGATTCTAAGCCGAGAGTCTTCATGAAGGTAAAGTATTCCGCGAGCAATTCCTTGTATGATCTTGTATCGTTTTGGCCAATTGAGCATAATTTTTCTTTCATCATCTGATCAACATCAAAAGAAATGAAGAGATTAATGTGCAGTATCAAAGGGGGAAAGAAATTCAAATTAAAGAAGCTTATTTATGAATGGCATACTGAAAAGAAAATGATCCAAGCTCTTGTTGGGAATGAACTCATATATGAGGATCTTCTCTTCTCCATCCAAGCAAAACCCCAATAGCCTAACAAGGTTTCTGTGTTGAAGGTTGGCCACTAAGACCACCTCATTCTTGAATTCTTCTGCACCTTGCCTGGAGCTTAATGAAAGCCTCTTCACTGCAATATCTTGCCCATTAGGAAGAGATCCCTGAAAATACCGTACCTTCTTTGAGAAGCTCTGAACCCAAAACCAAATTGTCTCAAATTTTTACAGGGAACAAATAAAATACCTTGAAAACCTCACCAAATCCTCCTTCGCCTAGTTTATTTTCATGGGAGAAGTTGTTTGTGGCCAATCTGACTGTTTCCAGATCAAACTGCACGTGCTCCACACTGGAAATTTCAACTGCACATTAGCAGCCAGAGTAAACTTAAAGCTGAAGGCCTTCCGAGTTTCACATTGTTGGGTCAAGGATTTTATAATAGATTGAATCATCGATGCCACTAGCATATATAAAAAGTTTCACGGCTGCTAAGCTAGCAAAATGTGGAAGTACCAATAGAATCACAAATAAAACGCTATTTTTTCTTGAATCATACCATCGTTTTCTTCAGCTGGCGGCACTAATATGTGCTTCTTGCTTGCCCTTCTAGTTCCTAACCAGCAGAGAAGGAGGAAAAGCAGCAAAACAGTCGTAATTGGAGCCACAATCGCGAGGACTACGGCTACAGAGATCCGGGTTTTTCCTGCTCAAATTAATTGGTCGATCAGTTTCCAGTATATTACCACTTAAAGTCGACAAAACTAATAAGTGGGAGAAGTCAAAAAGCAATGCACAGGACTCTCCACAAATACCTTTTGGCGTTGGTTCTCGCGGGGTGATCACCGGCGATGATTGGTAGAACGGGTACGTTTCATATCGGACAATACAACTAGTTTGCAGGACTCTGGCCCCTATTTTTCCATTGCAGCAACTGGGTAAGGTCGAACTTGCTCGTTTTAAGCATGTTTCGCAGGTAGTTTCTGTTAAGTCCGGCGTGCACTGTGCTAGCGTATACAGCGTTTGAAAAGTAGAAAATTTGGCTTCTTTTGTAGCAAACTTCTTGTCAGCCCCGCCCTTTACGGCTTGCGTCTCCGCCGCGTTGATAGTCTCAGCCAACAGTGACATGAAGCTACTCTGGTTTAAGCTTGCCGCAGTATTCATCAAAATAAGCCTGGGGGCTTCTTCACTGACGGAGGAGAAAGGCTCATCTGAGTAACGTAACATACACTCGTTGAACCAGATCACTGACTTTTTATCTAAAGGACACCTTCGGAGTATTTGTTTGGCCGCTACGGAAGCGCAGTCATGGCAGGCATCGGGGGTGAGATCGCCACGGCAGAGGAAGGCGCCGTAGACAGTGCTATCGGAGTTTCCGGCGGCGGCATAGTAGAAACCGTTTTGGCGGGTGGAATTTGTGGAAAGCCATGAAAGGAGATGGTCGAGATTGGTTTGATAGGAACTATTGGAAGAGAAAAATGTAGTGTTTCGACAGTTGTAATATTCCTCTGTTTGGGCGGATGCTCTATAACTGGTTACTATCACTGTAAGGATCGCCATGAAGATCATGAGAACAGAGAGAGGAGGAGGATCAATTTTGTAGAGCTTCATTTCGTTTGTTGGTGAAGATCTCTGTCCCTCGCTTGCTCAAATTATACCCTTATCGCTTGGAATTGCAAGCTAGGACGGAGCTTATTGCTTCATTGCTTACGGTTCAGAAAGTCAATTTTGTAATAGACCAGAAAAATGCACTGTTAAAGAATATCACGTCACGAGAAAGAAGAAAGAACTTTTACAAAATTTATATAATATTCTAAATTAAGTTAAAATATCATATTGATTACTTGTTTTAAAATACAGTTTTGAAGTGTTGATTTATTTGATATATATGAAAATATCCTTGTATGCATATCTGTACCCGTGCTAAATGGTTAAGAATAATGTCAGCTAGGAATAAAGTAGACAAAAATAAATTGAAAGACGAGTAAAATTAACTTTGAGGAAAATTTAAATGATCAGATTACAACCAACTGAAATTAATATATAGGAGTGAAGTATGAGATAAATTTAAAAGTTAAAGAATTTTTGTTGTGAAATAAATAAAAGTAAAGAACACCAAAGATTGCATAATAGAATTTTAGTAGGTGGGAAATTGGTTTTAGGGCGTTGACGGGCACACAGCGTCAGTCGTGGGAAAAATGGGAAACGAAGACTTGGAAAACGGAGCCTCCCCACTCGTTTCCATCCGGTACGGCGAGTGTCGGGTCTGAGTTATACGGTCACTGTTGGTTGATTGCTGATCAAACGCGTAAGAAGATTCCTTTTAATTTTAAAATTTCAAATCTTTCTTACTTATTATATTTTAATAATAATTGATAATATTTAAAAAATAAATATTAACATATTTTTATAATCATTTTTAATTTAAAATCTTAAAGTTTTAGAGATTTTTTTAGAATTATTTCATTGACTAATGATATTGATTTTTTGTGACTGATTTGTATCTGATTATTTGAACCCAAAGAATCATCCACCAGTTCCAAGTCACAATGAACAGTTTATCCTTTCATATTCATGTGTTGAGAAGTAGTTAAGAACAGTTTAGTTAAGATAATATTTTACTATGACCGTAAGAATTAGCAGGGAATATATCTGGTTTTTAATATAAAATCTCAATGTACTTTATTTTTTGAATTTATATAATTTTTTTGAGAGTATGCCTATTAATTGTACATATTAGATATTCCAATTAAAGAGTAGTTCTAGTGCGCATAATTAAGGAATGTAATTTTAAAAAGTTAACACATTTGTTATAAATAACCAGTTTAACTAATTTTTTTAATATTTTTAAATTAACTATTGAGTTTTTATATTAAGGATTGAATCTCTTGTAACACATAGAATTAGCCACAACGCAATGTCAGGGGAAGATAGATAAATGATTACATAAAGGGTGTTAAAAAAGTACTTTTACATAAGTTGAGATAAAACTCTTCTCACATATTTATTTTACATGCCATAACATTACTTTTAAAATTATGATTTAGTTTCCACCCAAACCTCTTCTAAATCTTAAAACCAAGTCTTAATTTTTTACCAGTAAAGTTTTATGATCAATTTTAAACTGATTATAACTTTTAAACATTTATAATAAAGCTTTCAGGATTTACTATTGGGATACGTTGTTAATTACATAACCGCATTTTTTGTTTGTTTCATTTTTTTCCCCCTTTCCAACCTTGGTCCTTCTTCATAAACTGTATCATCTCATAAACCATGGTCATCGAATTTTTTTTCTTTTATGTTCCACTTTCACTTCCAATTCCAATTCTCAGCTTCCAATTTCTTGTTATCAAACGGGGCATTAAAGTATGTAAACGAATTCCAATCTCATTCGTATGCCTCCAATTTCATTGTACCAAATTAAACGAGACATTAGTTGACTTGGGCATTGACGCGGGGTGCCAGTCTATTTTGTCATTGGAAGTAGATGGTGGAGGAATTATTGGACGCGCAATGGGAAGAGTCTGAGAAATGACAATGAAGTATGAACACTCGAAAAAGTTTGGTTGATCAGGTCTTCATTGTCGTGTTCAAGAGGGGCTTCAAATCTTGTCACGACCTTTTCACGGATATAAAGAAAAAGAGGCAAAAAAAGGAAAAGCTAATTATTTATTGATTTGACTGTTATACTACCTCGGTCATTAATATAAAAGCTGGTTTGAATTTAAAATTTGATTCTAAATATAAGATTCTAATACACTTTGTCTCTCATATTTATTTATTGTTTTCTAAAGGTAATCCTTATAGTAATGATAGTTTTACCTAATACCCTTGATTAGTAAGTATATTTTATGAAAGACAACATTTATTTATTACAAATAGCTAACTTAACTAATTTTTTAATTTACTTAAATTAATCAACTAACTCTTATGTTAAGCACCAGAGGTAGTATATTTATATTTCTTGGGTTTATACTGACATACTGTACAGCTTTTTTCATTACTTCAAACGTAAATGATAATCAAGGAAATCAAGAAATTATTAATGAAAAATTTAATAATTTTAGCTATTTAATTCATGTCTTCCAAATTCCAACTGAATATGTAGAAAATCAGCACAGCTAATCTTCCAAAATGTGTCGTAATTAATATGAGACTGAGTGGAGTGAGTATTACGGTTCTAGCTAGTCCAGTCAACATCTTTCTTCTTAACCGCTGGTTCTCAAGTTCTAAATCTGCCTCATGTCCCCAAAAAAAAAAAAAATCTAAATCTGCCGCGTTGGAAATTCCAAAATAATAAAAACTACGAAGATAAATGAGAATGGCAAAAGGAGTTAGCAAACTCGCATTACACCGCCGGCGTATGAATTGAAACGGCGTTAATGATCACAAAATGATTCATTTCATGAATTCTGCTAAACTCTTTCTTCTTCTTTGCCTTGTGATCCTTGCGATTGCCAGAATCAAAGGACAAATTTACTGGTGTTCCCCTACAACTTATGCCCAGAATAGCACGTTTCGGACAAATGGGGATCTCTTACTTTCTTCCTTTCCTACTCTAACACCAATCAAGATGCAGGATTTTACTGCACCTCCGTCGCCGGGCAAGAAAACAATCCCAACGCCACCGTCTACGGCATGTTCCAGTGCCTCGGTGATATCACCGTCCAGACCTGTCAAAAATGCGTTTCTTACGGAATCAAAGATATCCTTCAGAGATGCCCCAACAATACTGGAGCCACCGGTTGTTACGACAAGTGCTGGTTACGTTACTCCGACCAGTATTTCTTCTCCAAAACGGAAGAAAAGCCCATGTTAGTTTATTATAACACCGGCAATGCAACAGAGAAGCTGGTGGGTGAAACCTTGAGGGAGATGGCGAAAGAGGCATCGCAAGGCGGAAGCAAGAAATTTGCGACAAAAACAGTAGACTATGATGTTTCTCAAACTATGTATACTATGGCGCAGTGCATGCCGGACATATTTGAGATTGATTGTCTCATGTGTCTCCGCAACAGCATTAGCAATTTGCCTATTTGCTGTAATGGAAAAATAGGCGGAATAACCGTCAAGCCCATTTGCTATTTAAGGTATGAAACGTACGCCTTTTACCAGGAACCGGCCCCGCCATCTGCGCTTCCGCCACCAGCCCCTTCGCCGGCATCCACTTCCAAAGGTCAGTTGTTACAGCTTCAAAGAAAAATTATTTTACGAATTTTTTCACCCAAATTTGTTGCGCTTGAAAGATTGTTTTGACAACGAAGCTAGAACTCTGCTGATAAATCTACAGGGTTAAGATTGTAAATTTATTCTAAAAGCTTTCATTCAAAAACTAAAACTCTTCTAAATGGAAGACCTTCTGTTTAAAAGTTTAAGTGTAAAGAATATGTAATTTAAACTAATAAATGATGTTTTAATTAATAATACTTTTTCATTACGAAGGGTGAGCTAACAATTTAGTGTTGCGAGCGGGATCAAAGCTTTGTACCACTATGCAACACAGGTATAACTTAGTTTTTTTGTTGTTTTTTTTTTTTGGTTTTATTCAGATAAAAGCAGGATTTCACGTGGGATAATTATTGCCATAGCTGTTCCAACGGTGACATTCATATTGCTCTGCTTCTTGTGCTTAAAAAGGAGGGCAAGGAAAGATGCTTCAGCTCCTGAACAAAGTGGTATGATAAATATCAGCTCTAATGTTTAATTTGATACACGCAAGTTTCGCTTTAATTATTACATGGAAGTTCCTTAGATGACTAATTAATATCATGATCCCTACTTTTTTTTTTGGGTTATGTAGTTGATATTTCAAGCGTAGAATCCCAACAATTTGATTTGGATACCATTAGAACAGCCACAAATGACTTCTCTCCTGACAATAAACTTGGTTAAGGAGGATTTGGTGAGGTTTCCAAGGTATATAAATCGGGATCACTGCTCTTAAAATCATAAATAACTATTTGTTTGCAAATGGATTTTAATAGATTGATTATTCCTTATGAAGAGTGTTCTACCTGGTGGACAAGAGTTAGCCGCAAAAAGACTATCAAGTGGTTCAAAACAAGGTGTGGGAGAATTTAAGAATGGAGTTGTTACGATGGCAAAACTTCAACGTGGAAATCTCGTAGGGTTACTTGGATTTTATTTGGATGAAGAAGAAAAGATACTCGTATACGAATTTTTGCCCAACAGAAGCTTGGATAATTTTTTGTTTGGTAGGTTTTGCAAAATTATTTTCTGCGTTTAGTTATGCATATGCTCACTCTTCAAATTATATAATAATTATTATTAACTGCATTGGCTAACTTGGTGTGAGGATGTGAATCTAATTTTTTATCTTATCATTTGAATTGGCTTGTTATTGGGCGTCCAGGACTTGAAAACCAAGGTAAATTAAATTGAATTGGTCAAGACGTTACAAGATTATAGAAGGCATTACAAGAGAGATGCTTTATCTTCATGAAGATTCTCAACTAAAAATCATACATCATGATCTTTAAGCCTCTTCACTGCAATATCTTGCCCATTAGGAAGAGATCCCTGAAAATACTGTAATTCTTTGAGAAGCTCTGAACCCAAAACCAAATTGTCTCAAATTTTTACAGGGAGCAAATAAAATACCTTGAGAACCTCACCAAATCCTCCTTCGCCTAGTTTATTTTCATGGGAGAAGTTGTTTGTGGCCAATCTGACTGTTTCCAGATCAAACTGCACGTGCTCCACACTGGAAATTTCAACCGCACATAAGCAGCCAGAGTAAACTTAAAGCGGAAGGCCTTCTGAGTTTCACATTGTTGGGTCAAGGATTTTATAATAGATTGAACCATCGATGCCACTAGCAGATATAAAAAGTTCCACAGCCGCTAAGCTAGCAAAATGTGGAAGTACTGAGAGAATCACAGATAAAACGCCATTTTTTTCTGAATCATTCCATCGTTTTCTTTAGCCGGCGGCACTAATATGTGCTTCTTGCTTGCCCTTCTAGTTCGTAACCAGCAGAGAAGGAGGAAAAGCAGCATAACAGTCATAATTGGAGCCACAATCGCGAGGACTACGGCTACAGAGATCCGGGTTTTTCCTGCTCAAATTAATTGGTCGATCAGTTTCCGGTATATTACCACTTAAAGTCGACAAAACTAATAAGTGGGAGAAGTCATTAGTACATCGTCAGGTTGTTTTGTATCCAAGAAAATCCAAATGCAAAGCCTTTGTGCCCGGCTACAATTGTTTTATATCACAGCAATTATTTAACTCAGGAGTCACTTCCAGAGCAAACTTTTTTTCTTACCAATTGATTTGTAAGTAAAGAACCTTGCTTACAAATGAAGTCTCGTTGACTGAATTTTTTCCTCACCAGTACAATCCTTTTGTTTCTGCTTTTTCTGAAACACAGATGCTCTGTTGGGTATCTACAGATAAAAGTATTGCACAAATTAAATACAACGATACAGCCTCTTAATGGGAGGCAGAAGAAAAAAGGGGCCAAAAACAAATCCAAATCTGAAATGATCAAATTTATATTGTTATTGCACACATATTTTAAAAATAAAATACAAACCATCAGTTCCCAGAGTAGAGAAAAACAAAAGTTGAAGTCTGATCTACTCTGATCTAACGAGGAAATAGTGTACTCTTCGACATTTCATTGATGGAATATTGATTGCGGTTGGCAAGCTGACTCTCCATTTCTGTAGTGGTTGCCACTGGTTCCATTTGACTATGTATGAAGAATGTTGGTTCTTGAGGAATTGGTAATTGAATTGAATCATTACTTGGATATTGAACAACTTCATTCATGGAAGGTCTAACTTTTGGGTTTCCTTGAACACAAAACAAGCTGACATGGATGCATTTGATCATTTCCCTATGTGACCCTGCTTCTATTAGATTTGGATCCAACATCGCTATCAATTTTTTGTCCCTCCAATGCTTCCAAGCCTGCCATTATCTCAAATCATTAAATCAAAAGAGCCCCTGCTATTAATTTGATCATAGAATATTGTTAACATAAGCTCCAATGACTGCTTTGATGCTTATAAAATGACCACGATGAAAGGTATGAGATGATTATTTGAGAAATATTGAAAGTTTCAGACTCACATTACTTAATAGTCCATCAGTATATTGAGATTCAGGATATTCACAATGAGAATTTACATTCTTCTTTCCACTAACAATTTCTAAAAGGGAAAATTAATTTGACAGTCCTCATACTTTTATCAGATTTGGAATCAGGTCCTTATAACTTTTTTTCATTTTATTAGATCCTTATTCTTTGCTCAGTTAGTAACGAAAGTCCTTCCGTTATGATTGTCGTTACTTTAAGGTGACAACACTGACGGGGCACTGTTCAACATCTTTTTTTTTAAAAAAAAAACCGGACCACTGTTCAACATCTCACTAGCATCATCTTCTTCATTTCACCTGGAACACTTACGCCTTCATCTTTTCTCTCCCCCGCCTCCACTTAGTTCTCTTCCAAACTAACATCATCATCTCTCTCACACACTTCATATTCTCTCTCTCCCTACCACTACCATTACCTTCTCTTTATCCCTTCTTGTAAAAGTTTCACTCCATGTTTCAAAATCATCAGATTCTCTCTCTATTTGTTAATGTATTTTTTTTGGGCCAGAGAGTAGTAGAACCTCTTCCATATTTCACTATTGGACTTAATCGTCTATTCAAATGGGCTAATTTTTCAGGAAAAAAATTTAAGGATGAAGACGATGAATCCGATGAATCTCACGACATCGTGGTCCTCTTCTTAGTCAGCTATCATCACCTAGATCCGCATCACCGTCTGAGAAGGGATTTGAAACAGGATGAAGCTTCTGGTGGTGGGGAGAGAGAGTGCATGAAGTGAGAGAGAGATGATGGTGTTGGTTTGGAAGGAAACTGAATGAAGCTTTTTGCTCTAAAAGGGAAACCAAGTGGAGGAGGAGAGAAAATGAGGGAGGAGGTGTTGCGGGTGAGGTAAGAAAGATGGTGCTTAGTCATGCCACATCACCGCTGTTAACTTAAGGTAACGGCAATTATAAACAGAAGGACCTTAGTTACTAACTGAGCAAATAACAAGGATCTAATAAAATGAAAAAAAACTAGAGGGACCTGATTCCAAATTTCATAGAAGTGTAAGGACTAAGGCTGTTCACGGGACGGATCGGGACCGGGACAGGCCCGTCCCGGTTCCGTCCCGGTGAACAGTAACGGGACAGATTTTCTGTCCCGTGTCCCGGCCCGTCCCGGGGTTGTCCCGTGTCCCGGTCGGGACGGGACGGATCCGGGACGGGACCGGGACGTCCCGAACCCCTTTTTTTTTTTTTTTTTTTTAATTTTTTAATTTTTTTTAATTTTTTTAATTTTTTTTAAATAAAATCTGATTTTTTTAATTATGTTTTTTTGGGCTTAAACCTTATAAAAACATCTTTTTATTTTTTATTTATTTGTTTGGACACTCTTAAATAAAAAATTGAAATATTACATATAATAATTATTAAAAACTCTAAACAAAAGCTTTTAACACAATAAAAACTTGCTAAAAATTCTAATCATCAATAATCTCAAATCATTAACAAATATAAAAACTCTAAATAAATATATCTATAGTTCCATACAATAGCCTCAAATCTTAAAAAAATATGAAAAAAATAATATTATATAAATGGGATAAAAAATTAAAAAAATTAAAAAAAATAAAAAAAGGACCGGGACGGGACCGGGACGGGACGACCCCGTCCCGTGTCCCGTCCCGTCCCGTCCCGGTCCATTATTTGTCCCGTCCCGGTTTGTCCCGTCCCGAAAAATTTCGGGACGGATCCGTCCCGTTCCAATAAGACCGGGACCGGAACGGGCCGACCGGGACGGGTCATTCTTGAACACCCCTAGTAAGGACTGCCAGATTAGTTTTCCCTTTCTAAAACTATCACCCCAAAACTGAAAACATTTGATTTTTCAGAAAATAGTCCAAACTTAATATATTCTGGAGACATATAACCCCTGCAATAAAATATATGTTAGAATATTAGCACCAATCGATTTGAGCAAAATCTTGTGCCAATATTTAAGTTCAATAGCAAAGTACACGAGCAAAATTCACAGGTACCTCTAGAGAAAGACAAATATAGAAAAAAGAGAGAGAAAAAACTTACAATGTTCCAACAATTCTATTTGTGCTTCCCCCAATTTCATTAATACCAACCATCCTTGCCAGGCCAAAATCAGAAATTTTTGCATTCATCTCATCATCTAACAATATGTTGCTAGGTTTGCGATCTCGATGTATTACTTTAAGCCGTGAATGCTCATGAAGATAAAGAATTCCTCAAGCAATTCCTTCTATAATTTTATGGCACTCAAGCCAATTTAACATTCTTGACTTTTGTGAACCTATTCATAATTAAATTACTTTGATAGTATTAAATTGAATGACAAATATGTTCACCTCTAAGAGTAATGAAAGAATGGATGGTACATGACTAAAAAAAATTGAAAAAATGGTAAGATGAGTTTGGTTAGAAGAAACAAGCCGAATAAAGTAATCTAGACTCTTGTTGGGAACATATTCATAAACAAGTATTTTTTTCTTTGTCTTTTAGGCAAAATCCTAGTAGTGCCACCAGGTTTCTATGTTGAAGTTTGGCAATTAATAGAACCTCATTCTTGAATTCTAATAAGCCATGACAAGAATTTTCTGACAATCTCTTTACAGCTATTTTGCTGCCATGAAAATAATTTTAAGACGAGAATATATAAAGATATAAAATTCTGCGAGCAACTCCTCTTATGATTTCATAACGTTCCTCCCAAGTGAGTCTTCTATTTTCCTGGGAACCTATGCACACTTTTTTTTTTTGGTGAGTGACGATGGAAGTGCCCATGCAAATAAAGAT